AGTCATGTAACTCTAAATCATGCGATATGGGTTTCTCGTGATGCACGGTGTTGAGTCTAACTAGATGGTAAGGGGCTGTATAAAATTAGGATTGGAATTCAAAGAGGATGAAACTTCTGGTGAATACGTGAATCCATTCCCCCTTTTTCTTGTGAGGTTCGCATCCCCCCCTTTTTAGAGGTAAGTCAGATAATTATTTAGCTTGGACTTCATACCGCGGGCCTAGACCAAGCAAAACGCTACTTCAGAGCTCAAAGACTTCGAGTTCGGCCCAAAGCTCCACAATTTGGTCCTAGTTATTCGGACGAAGTGGTGATCATGATACAAGGTTATGCTGCGGGTATATACAGGCATCCGACTGACTGAGTTGACCAGCACGGTCGATAAGGCGGCCATAGGCCGCCGCCGGAGGCTTCGGCTGAGTGTGGTAGAACTTCTACAACCTTGGTGATGCAAGACCCTCCAGACTTGGGCGAGCGATATAGAAAGTCGTAGGTTCGATTCCTGGCACCAGCTTTTTTCGGTTTTTTCGCTCCGTGCAGACCAAACAAGTGTGTCATCTACAGGTCGTCTATGACTAATTGGGGATCACGGTAGTAGTAGCGGGCCGGAGGCCCGCGATTCCCCTTTAAATATAAATTTTTTTCCGGTTGCTACCGTCTGGCCCACTTTTTGCTACCGTCCGGCCCACCTAGCCAGAGTCACGCATAATGGATGAGTGAAACATAACTCCCTTAACGTTTCTTGACGTTCGACTCGTTCAACTATTGTATTAATGTCTCCGGAGAGCATACAATCGCATGAGCGTCAGGCCATAACTGGCTGGAACGATGAATCGCCCTGCACGGTATAGATTTTCAAGCCGGGACTCCATTAGGTGTTCTCGGTGAGGACCCTTTAAGGTCGTTCTGTGAGAGTTGTGGTCAGTCGATGTCATCTTTTTCCACTGCAATGTCATCTGCTACACTGCCTTCACTACGACCTGTCACTATCGCCACTCATAGTGGTAAATTCCATTGCGACGAGGTACTCGGCACTGTCATGCTCGATAAGATCCTTGGCGGATCAAAGAACTACAGTACTAGGGATGGTAGTCTGCGGCTGCTCTCACTTGAAGGTTCCGACATCATTATCCCACCGAAACGGTTTTACACTCATGATTCGTATCGCTGCTCTTTATAGTGAAAAACTTCGTAGAAAATCAACAGTGTTCGACGGGAAGAGTTTTGATCAGATTTGGTACGGACACGAAACCCAGAGGTCATCAGCAAGGCCGATATAGTCATAGACGTTGGGGCAGAGTTTGGTAGGTCCTCCTTTCGAGAACCTCAGTAGTAGTAGCTAATCTTTGCAGACCCACCGCGTCGCCGCTTCGACCATCACCAGCGAACTTTCGATGAGACGTTCGACGACGAGAACAGGGTGTCAAAACTGAGCAGTGCTGGGTTAGTATACAAGTA